CCCTTGGCTCCCCTGCTCTTCTCTTCACTCCCAGAGTTATATAAAAGAGGAGCAAGAGGAACAGTGATGGGCCCTGGGGGGATAGAAATGTGGGTGAAATTAACCCTGAGTTTCTGGATCCTCAGGGGAGGAGACACTAGTGCCCTAGTTCTTTCTGTGCCAGTCAGATATATGACTATGAGTCCCATGCCTGGACCAAACTCTACTGTCCTCTATCTAACAACAATAAGGGCTGGTACCCTCTTATAAACAATTTAACATTTTTTATCTATTATGACATTTAAAATTTCGTAGGACACAATTTTAAAGACCTACCATATATTCTACTTCACATATGAATAAACACACATAGACAAATATGGTAACTAAATGCATTACCAAGGTTCTACCCATATCTACTTGGCTAGTCATAGCAGAGGTAAATGAATAAATTAGATGGTTTTTTTTAAAATTGCACAATATGCTTTCCAGGAAGAATGGATTAATTTTTATGTAGATTATCCATACTTCTTCCCATTCCTTGCCATCTGCCACCTCATTCTTGCTCATTTACACAAAATCCACAGTCAAGTTTAAGTCCCAGGAAGTGTCTTTCTTGAAGGAGCTCTCCACGCCATCCATGCGTATGCTGCCAATTTATGTGAACGTCTTTGTGCAAATGGCTAAACTCTAAACCAGAGCATTTTTGGAGACTGTTTTCTTTCCCCCATTTCCATTCTACTTACACATTCCCCTTACCAAATATTTCTTGGATTCCTGGTGTGGTTCTGTAGAACAATGATTGGGCTGCAAATCACAAGGTTGGTGGTTCAAACCTACCAGCTGTTCCTTGGAAACTCTATACAGGGTTGCTATGAGTCAGAACTGACTGGACAACACTTAAAAACAACAACTATGTCTTAAGGAGTGCTGGTAGGGTATACATTGGATTACTAACAGTAAAGTTAGCAGTTCAAACCCATTAGCCTCTCTGCAGGAGCAAGAGTAGGCTTTTTGCTCCTGTAAAGACTTACAGCATTGGAAACCCTACACAGGTTCGTTAATGAGTTGGAACTGACTAGCCAGCCCCTAACAGGAGCAACAACAAATATTTCTTAATTCCACATTCATGATTTTTATCTTTGTTGCTTTTACATTACTTCACACCACCATCATCTCTCTGTAAATTACTGTAATAGCCTAGCTAGCTGTCTTGTCTCCGGTCTTCAGTCTTATCTTCCTACATCCCATTATGTACATTGAAGTCACTAATATTGGTCCTGTCCTAATAACACCTGCTGTCATTTTCCCACTGTGCTCAGGATAAAAGCCAACTTCTCAATGTAGCTGACAAGAGCACTACTTCATTTGCCTCAGAAATTCACAGATTCCCTCAGTTTCTCAGGAAGTGCTGTGTTTCTTCTTACAGTTGGACGAATGTATTACTCTTCCTGAAACTCTGCCCCCTTTGCCTTCTTCATTACCATATCCTCCAAGCTGGCCAATTATAAATCATTTTTAGGCTCAAATGTGAAGCTTGGAGGGAAATCTTGCAATATAAATTCAGGATCTTCCTTAAATTTGAGGTGGTAGGCTTCAACACAATGCTTTATGATATGTTAGACAATGATATGTTGATACTCACTGTGAAATTTTAATTTCCTCTCATATGCCAGAACAAATGTACTTTTTCTTTGTATATGAGAACAAATAATAAAATCATACAAACCTTTATTAAACAAAACTCAAAATGTGAAACTATTTTTCTTGACATATTATGCCATGTAGATCTATATGCTTCTGAAGGTGGTGTTTCCATCTCTCTAACTTGTCCCCAAATCATCCTGAGCTTTTTTATTTACATCACTTAAAACTGGCAGCTTTGGCATCCCCAGGGGACTCATACTGTGTTTGTTTTAAATGTTCTTTGAGTTTGAGGAAGAAAAAGTCTTTAGGGGCAAGATTAGGCTATAGAGTACATGGGGTAAGATTTCCTGATGAGGTTCTCACAAAGTAGCTCTTGCTACACTAAAAGAATGACCAAGTGCACTGTTGTAGTGGAAAAAACCCTTGGCACAACTTTCCTAGTCTTTTTCCAACCAATGCAGTTTTCAATTTTCTTATAACTTCTTCATAATAAGCCCCTATGATTATCCTGTGTCCTTCAAGAACAGCTATCAACATTGTTGTTGCTGTTATTAAGTGCCCTCGCATAGGCTCCGACCCATACATAGCAACCCTGTATAGGGTTTCCAAGGAGTAGCTGGTGAGCTTGAACCACCAACCTTATGGCTCAATCCAATCTTGCAGTCTACTGCATTAACCTGCAACACCACACCAGGATCACACCTTTGTAATCCCCTCAAAAGTGACTATAACCTTCTGAGCTGATCTCTCTTCCTTGAGCTTGACTGATCCAGCAGAATCCCTCGGATGCCACTGGTTTTGTTGGACTTCAGTTTTTTTATTAACTACACCTTAAGTAGACTAAGACAAGTGTATTACTGAGACAACTTGGCTTCAGATATTCACTGATCACAGAGATATTTTAAAATGTTTTGTTTGGGATAAACCTATACAGGCATGAACTGGAACCCTATGACTAATACTCTTTGACTTAACCTTGTATTTGTTTGATACTATCAATGATAAGCATGATATATGCATGTTTCTTCCAACTCTTGGTGGTGGTGGTTATGTGCCGAGGAGTCAGAACCGACTCATAGTGACCCTGTACAGGGTTTCCGAGGTTGTAAATCTTTACAGGAGCAGAAAACCTCATCTTTCTCCAGCAGAACAGCTGGTAGTTTCAAACAGCTGACCTTAAGGTTCGCAGCCCGATTCATAACCCACTATGCTACCAGAGCTCCTCAGTACAAATAAAATTATTTTGACACCCTTCTCATACTTCCCATACTCCTAAATACAATACTTTCTTACTTCACTGAGCAGAGGCATTTAGATATTAAACCTCAGAAAACACACAAGTGTGAATCTGGAATTTATCAGACAATAAACTTATTTTGAACAGGTTGCTAGGAACATGGTTCTAGAGTGGAGGTTTCAGATTATTTTAAAAGTATGAAGTGATATGTCTCCAATGTTCAGATAGATGGAGCAACACAGGACTAGACTTGTGGCTCATAGGGGGTTGTTGCTGGCAATGAAAGGAACAGAAAGGATAATTCAACACATTTGTATGGCATAGTGGATGCTTTCAGACAAGAGGTGAATGTGAAAGTAGAATAAATGAAGAAAGAAGGAATGAGAACAAGGGTGAGGTAAGAGATTTGATTGACATAAATGAACAAAAAGGTCAAAGCCATAACTTTTTTTGAATAACAAAGAGATAGTAAGAATATCAATGAAAATAGAGGCAGAATCATGGCAAAGGGGGCTAGAATGGTATCCTGTATTGTCTAGACCAATGAGGGGGTATGGTTCTAGAGATTAATGATCTGGGACAAAGGAATGGATGATCATCAGAGATCTAATAACTGTGTTGTTGTCATTGTTGTTATGTGCCATCGAGTTGGTTCCAATCCATAGCGACTCTGTATAGTGTTTCCAAGGAGCAGCTGGTGAGCTTGAACCACCAACCTTGCTGTTCAAACGGCTTTGCAGTCTGGCACATTAACCCACAGTGACACACCAGGACACATTATTCTGGGACCTGAAAGCCTAGATTGGTGGTGTAAGGCTAAATCAAGGAGGAGGAGACAAGCCCAGACTGCATCTGGTAAATGTCCTTCTGAGAGGTGACTGCTGAGCCCCTACTCCTCACAGGGCCTCAGCACTTTCTCTCAGTGCTAAGTACTCAAGTTACATAGTCAGCAGAGAAAAGTGATGTTCCAAGAGATAGTCATGCTACAAAGTCTGACTTATTCTGTACCCAAATACCAGAATGGGTAGATTTACTTTAAAATGTTATTCATAGCAGGAATACAAATTAGCTATTTTATTGTAACATGAAGCTTTTTTAGAGTTCCTGGTGACATCTACAGAAGTCATGAGCTAACTAACCAATGCATCTGCCTCATGACACATAGTGGATTTTAAGCAATGCTGCTTTATAAGGTAATATAAGAGAAAGAACCTTGATATTTGGTATTAAGAATATTTGGAATCAAACAGTATCTATAGTCATCCCTTGTTGTTGTTGTTGTTAATTGCCATCGAGTCGGTTCCGACCCATAGCGACCCTGTACAGGGTTTCCGAGGGTGTAAATTTTTACGGGAGTAGAAAGCCTCATCTTTCTCCCGCGGAGCGTCTGGTAGTTTCGAACCGCTGACCTTAAGGTTCGCAGCCCGATTCGTAACCACTACGCTACCAGAGCGCCTTATAGTCATCCCTTAGCTCTATGGAAACAGTACTAGTATAGGTCAGTCACACCAGATGACATGCTAGCATCTCACAGCCATGAAGGATAAACTATGCATCTACAAGAGAGAAAATGGATCCGTTTGAATTGTAGGGAGCCATAGCAGGGCTCAGATATTTTTTGGTAAGTGTATCAAGGATTCTGCTTGCTGTTTGTTTTACTACTGCCGTAATACTTTAACTTCCGAAATTCAGAAATATATCACTTTAGGTAATTTGCTGGCAGAGTGAGTGGTAGGGACTTTTTTGTCAGGAGAAAGGTAAAATAATTTTCCACAAAGTACTGCAGTCTTTTAGCTTTGCAATTTTACTACAAGTGACCCAAGGGAAAGCCCATTATTCCATTATACATAAAAATTATGTTGTGAGCTAATGGAACGAGAACAGTAAGGTACCAGCCCTGCGTGCTATCTCCCATGGCTTTTTATGAGATATGTAAATGACGGTTTTTGGTTTTTTATTTTTATTTTGTTGTAAATGTAGGAAAATTTATTCAAGTAAATTCAAGGACCCTTATCTCACAACATCATCGAACAATTAGGCGGTATTCAAGACAAAAGTGAAAACATCACTGAAGGAATATAGCATGCAACAAAGATTTACAGTAAAGCAAAGAAAGTAAGAAAAAAAGTCGACTAACCTAACCCACCTGAGCTCGGCTCACAGGGGTCAATATCCTCGTCATCACTGGGACACTCTGCTGAGGCCACAAGGATGTCATCTGTGGTCTGCAAATGAAACACATTCAGAGATTAATATAAAGAAACCTAACAGATCCTCTCATCTTTATCATGGTAAACAGTAGAATACCATTTGTTTTTAATTAACAGAGTGGAAAATCAAACACAAAATCATAAAACTTCATTTTGTGAACTTGTCTTGGATCCTTCATGGAAGTATTTGCATATTTGTGAAACTGTGATTACAAGCAGTATCCAGCTACAATTGTCAAAGGTCAAAGTTACAAACCAAAACTCATAAGGCCTATCATATAAAAATTGAGGTACATACAGTGATTCATAATAACAAATGGAGCTTCTTAATGTGCATCAAAATATCATCATCCACGGGTTACAAGTTCCAACTCATGGACAATTCCTACTTACACTTCAGTGCAGAGCTTCCAATAGATTCTGTCAGCAAAACAGGAACAGACTAAAATTTTTATAATTTAGGTGATTCATCATGTTAACCAAAATAGAAAAAGTTACTTGTGAAAGCTCTGGAAATTGAGACTTGGAAGAGTCCTTTCAGGAGCCTGATGTATAAGATTGGACTATTGGCAACACTGGAGAATCACACACATTCAAAGCACTAGACAGTCACCATCTTTCAGCAAGGCACTGCCGTCTTTGAAGTCCTGCTTTAATGTTAACATAAATTTTCCTGCACTTTGAAATGATTGAACTAATCTCTAACCACAAAATAATCTTCATCACCTTCACCTTCACTGGCTTCCAGTTTAGCCTTTAAATCTTTGGAAAGGCTTCAAGCATGTCTTTTGCACTAAAATAAGGCTAAATAGGAACTGTATGCACCAATACTGACTGACCTACAAATTCTTAGAGACACAAATTAGGAATGGGTCTTGTTCATAGCCCAAGGAGTGTCTGCGTTATGTTAAAGATGTTTTAGTGTATTTGGAAGTATGCCTTTAATGTTTTTTAATGCATAGAAATGTACGCTATATACTAAGACAAAGATCTGATTGACATTAGATATGAACTGTTCCTAACTGCTTCAATTTACATGCAATTTTGACTTAAAGACAGATTTAGGAATGGAACTCATTTGTAATCCAGGGACTGTCTGTATAGATGATTTTACATGAGGACATAGGAACACGATTGGCAACCTGCAGATAAACACAGAGAAGCCAAAATGACAGAGTAGCATACAGAGATTTAAAACAATTTGGTAGAAACAGAGGACGTGAAATTTATTACAGCCCTGGAGTGCTGCAATGTATGCTTCAGTAGGCTTTATGCAGTACTTGTGCTTGTCTTCCTAAAACCAGAACAGCCATAACAAGCTTTTATATCATGACCAGGTATGGTTTGGTGAGTTTTTTGGATATAGCTTTTCATATATTAGGAAATACAGATTAAGTGAAAAAATAGACATTTATTTTTTCCAGTCATACAAAAAAAGAAAGTAAATATAATCCACTTAATGTTTCTTTACTTCAAAACAAAACAAAACTATCGTGTTAGGCTTCCACACTTAAATCTCATTTTTATAATGTCTGTTGTTAAAAAGTGCCATTGAGCCTGTTCGAACTCATTGTTGTTATGTGCCATGGAGTCAACCCTATACAGGGTTTCCGAGGCTGTAAATCTTTATGGGAGCAGAAAGCCTCAGCTTTCTCCTGCAGAACAGGTGGCCTTGAGGTTAGCAGCCCAATTCGTAACCACTACACTAGCAGAGTTCCTTGTTCGGACTCATAGAGACCCTGTATTAGGTTTCCGAGGGGCAACCAGTGAGTTTGAAATACTGACCTCACAGTTCATATGAATCTTGTGGTCCAGTGCTTATCCTACAGCTGCACACCAGGACCCCTTTGTAATGTTTAGATAATCCTTATTGTTTTATCTTGTTGTTTTTCATTATTAGCATTTCATAATGAATGAAACATCATGTATGGAGGAATGGGTGCTAATTTACAGAATGTACAGTGAATCTGAGCAAGATGAAAGTTTCCTCTGTGACATTCTAGTTGTTTCATTGTACTAACAGGAAAAAAAGGAGGGGTAACTATCACTTAATAACAACAACAATCACTGTAATAAAAAGCAGAGTGTGTAAATCTTAGTAGTTAGTCACATAATCAACATCTTTACAAGTACAAAAGACTGCTTTACTGCCATTTACAAGCAATGGTAAACTCAGTGTAGACAATGCATGCATGGAACCACGAAGGTTTACATCAGGCTTGACAGATGCTAAGGTGGTGTTGGTAGTTTAGCGTCAGGGAGTCAGTACTGACTCAAAGAGACCCTGTATAGGCTTTCCAAGGCTATAAATCTTCACAAGAACAGAAAGTCACATCTTTCTCCTTTGAAATAGCTGGTATATTCAAACTTCTGATCTTACGATTTGCAGCCCAACTTGTAACCCACTATATTACCAGAGCTACTTAATGCTAAGGTTGTTGCTACTGTTAACTGTCATCGAGTGGCTTCCAATTCTTAGTGACCCTGTATAGGGTTTCCAAGGTGCAGCTAGTGGATTTGAACCACTGACTTGTAGCTAGATGTCCAGTGCTTATCATATAGCACCACACCAAGACTCAAATGGTAAGGTAACACAGAAAAAATCCAAGGTACAAGGAAAATAGTCTCACCACATTTACTAAAGACTAAAGAGATCATGATAGTTTAGACAATACTCAGAACTGTAATACACATGCAGTCCTTATTTAAAAATAGAATTAAAATAGTATTAGTCCTAGATTAATGGAAAGACAGAAATATAATATGATTTATCTCCATTTAAGCTCTTATATTGCCAGATACCATCTAATATCTTTAGAGTTTAAAGTATAAATAAAATTTAAGTTGTGACATTTTGAAAAATGGAGACTTGAAATCTTCCAAGGACAGGGTCTTTAATATTTTATAAATAATCTATTATGATGCTAATGCTTCAAAATCCAACTTTAAATAAACACAAGCATTTAAATAGCTTTTGAGATAATTTCACATGATTCAGTCCTTAATTCATTTGGGAAACTTTCTGGATTCACTCATTTTGCTGCTGATACTTGAAAAGGGTAAGGTCCAAGTCCCGGTTCTCCTAGCAACGTCAATGATAAATATTGGCAATCAACAGGTTAGATACCCAAATATCTTTCACTGAAGGGAACTTTAAAAGACAAAGATCCAACATCCTTTAGGAATGAGACTTTTGCAGGTTCACATCCAAACTAACTTGATAATAGCTAGTTATGTGGTCTTGAAGGTCGGTTGTTTCAATTTTCCCCAAAGCAGATACTCTATTCTTTCTAGAGACAACTTTCAATAGAAAAGCTACTTTTATTCTCAATCACAGTGATGGTCCTTAAAACTATGCTAAAATTAAAAGAATATGTCTCATTTTCCTTGGGGAATTTTGAATGCTTTAATAAAATCAATACAGCATTTTTTGTTGCTGCTATTACTACTGTCTTGTTCTTGATGGAAGAAAATACAAATGATTCATACTGTTGGTGATACTATTCCACATTCCCTGACCCTCAGTGTCTTCAGACAAGTTGGAGCCCTTGAATGATGCAAATGGTTAATGAACCTGGCTGCTAACAGAAACATTTGAGATTAGCCAGAGATACCTTGTTAGAAATGCCTGGTGATCTATCCAAAAAATCAGCTACTGAAAATACTATGGCACACTTACAGAACAAAAAAGAAAAAAGAAAAGCTCCTCTTTGACACACAATGAGTTGGAATTTAATTTGATGTGTTTGAAGTTGTCTCTCTATGACCTGCTGTTGAAAGAATGGCAACTAGCTAGTTTACAGACATTTTAATTGTTATAATTGGATAAGAGGAGTATCTGCTTGTATTGGACCCTAATGGGTAGAGAATATGAATGTTCCAACCATTTTACAATGCACACGGCAGTTCCCTGAATCTCCCCCAAATACTTACCTGATCCAAAATGACAACAGTGTTGATGTTAAGAAACCGTGTATTAAACTAACTTTGAAAGAAGTTCTGTGACTCACTTTTACCACCTTAAAAAATGTAACACTTAATAGTACTTTTGTTGTTGTTAAGAGCCATAGAATACCTAAATGTTGTTCTGGAACTTGCCCGGTGAAATAAGCTCCTTGTAGAGCCTTTGCAGTGTATAGGACCTTAGGTGGAATCCTGAACCCAATCCAAACCTTCTGAGGTGGGACATACTCACTTGAAAGGACCTACAGACCAGTCCATAGTGACTAGAGGAACATAAGATAATTCTTGAGAGGAAGACTAGTGGGGGAAAAAACAAAACAAAACAAAAACAAAGACTGCAGTCTCTTTGGCTATTATAAGAACAAGCAAGTTTTTGCCAAGGAGCCATAAAGGCAAACAATTAAGACCCTTCAGGGCAAACCCCCCTCCAAGACTGAAACTCAAAGGGAATACACAAGCACGCATGTAAGTATGCTGGTGACCATGTTGGTCTATATATGAGTGGAAGTGAGGAAAAGGCAGTAATGAAGATATAGGCTGTGTTTGACCATGTTCCATAAACAGCTGTTGACCTTGAGATGAGAGAGCAAAGAGAAAGGGCTGGTTGGTTTGAAGTGTGGGGAGATTTGAGAACTCCTGAGCCAATGGATATGGGCCTAGTGATGGAGTCCTAGAGCTGAGTGAAGCGTCCAGCTGATATGAAATGGTAGGATACACACAAGAATTCCCAAACTTGCAGATAGTACCCATTTGACCTAGTTCCTAGAGCTTGATGACTAGAAGAAGACAAAGAAATTGGATAAAGAAAAAAATGTAAATTACTACAATTTGATGAGCTTGACCTATATGTATGGTATGTTATTGTTGGTTAGTGCCTTCAAGTCAACTCCAACATATAGCGACCCTGAATAGGGTTTCCAAGGAGGAGCTGTTGAGCTTGAACCACTGACCTTGCAGTTCAAACAATTTTTCAGTGTGATGCATTAGCCCACAGCACCACACCAGGATGGATATATAGCAGCTCAAAATACCAACCTAGAGGGAAGGAGTCT